TGTACAAAGATAAGCCACTCTTATTTTTCCATACATTTATTTTAATAAACAATATTTAAACGCATGACACGCATGTCCTTGCAATATAATTTAGCTATAATTCACGTGGGCGCGTATGCCAAATACTTACAATGCCTCCTGACCGACCTCTTCGCATCAAATGTACATGAAACCTCCACCGGAGTACTCCAATCTTGTCTGGGGTTCAACGAATGCCAGCCAGTCAGACGCGTGCGTCGGCAGTAGGCCCATTGACTGACACTTGTATAGAGCTAACGCGATATTCACTAATTGTCCTAGGAAGTACACGAACTTTTGTCCACACGCGTGCGTACCTTCGATCACTTTGAACGCTGAGCAGAGGAAGCATGTGATTATAGAGCATTGTCGAGACATTTATGCCTTCAGCATTTATAATTTGAGATCAACTCACTTTGTTGGAGGGTGAATAGCGCCTTGACTGGCTTGATGATGAGCATACCGACCATCATGATGGGAAATATCGAAACGGAGCTACCAGCCATGTATAGGATGAACAGATTCATGGGCACTTGTTTTAAGGGTCCCAAAGCCAGGTCCCACGACTTCTTTATTATCAGGAGATTAGAGTCAGACTCCCTCATATACTCGACATTGTGAAAGAGGCCACCAGTAGGTGTATACCCTGGTGGAGACGGTATCTCCATATTTTTGTCCTGTTTCGTTCTGTAAAGAGAATATTTGGTTTACTAATTAATCATTTATGAAAATTCGACAGATCTGTTTTCGGCTACTTAAAGGCTATTTAATTGAGACCGAGTAGGAAGATAGTCAGACAACAAGCAAGTTCAAAAAGGAGATACAACACATCTTAAAAACATGTTTTTAATGTCTTTAGGACCGTTTTATGTCTATATTTTAGACATTTTTCTCCGAGTACGAGATATTAAAAAGATCGCGTCGAAAAAGAACGAACATTAATATTTAATACGTGAGTAGCTGGCTAACGTCAACGATTTAAATGCATTAAATCGACACGTGTACTTGTGTCAATTAGGTTACGTACCTGTGTGCAAAGTCTAGGGCCCACTTCGACCGCTTGGAGCTTTGCTTCGAGCTCGCCGTCATTATCATCCGGGAATTATTTGCGCTGACAAAACTTTGTATCGTTTGTCTCTTCAATAAATAATTATGGACGACGCGCGATGACGCGAATAATCGGTGACATCCGGAAGAGGGATTATTCGTGGTTTGGCGATCGTTGCGCCGATTAACGGCGGATTTCTCGAACTCAAGTTACTCAGGACGGTAACGTCGATAACGTGATGCCTTGATAACGATAAAGATATCAGGGACGTGATAAACTGAGGGAGGGGAAAGGGTAGACACTCCATAATCTGGCCACAATTTTGTTAAAAAAAAAATTAGAAAGAAGAGTATATATTTCTCTTTTTGTATATACTATTTCGATATTTTGTATATACATTTCGAGATAAAAATGTAATAATAAGAATAAAAAGAAAAACAGGGCAAAAATTTGAAGTAGGAGAGAGAAAAGTATAATTGGATGAATGAGGTAGAAATAATGTTTGTAAATTAAATCTCTTTATAAATGCTGAAGAGAATAAATTCTGTTCTATGTCTCATTTTAACTTATATTGTCTTACTCTAGCTTGCTGAAGTACAAAAACAGACAGACTAATCAAAAAGTTTATCTCGTAGCCAGATTCTATTACAAGAATTCTATAATGAAGGGAAAGGATTCCCATACGAGATTTATGTAGACATTTGTTGATATTCCACACATTCTGCTCCTTTTTTCCATCTTTTTTTCATAGTATACATGATACATAAATTAATGCGTATAAATAGAAATGAAATTGTAATATTAAGTATAAAACTAGCAACATTACACGGTCCCGTCGCGTCTTCGCGACGAAAGAAAAAGAGTCGACTGCGACATTAAAAAATAATGCGATTGATTACAATGGGGCATACGATATAAAATATGAATTAATCGGTCATCAACCCGCAGACTACACACATAAGTCTGTGATGAGACAAAAGATTTTCAGTCGTCAGTATTGGTCAGTGTTACTTGAACATTTCTTCTAAAATATTTATATTTTGCAAGCAGACTTGAATTTTGATTTTATAATTATACTCTAGTAGAACTGTGTGTGGCATTCTTCTGGAAAAGGAATTTGTTGAGAAGTCTGCATTTTTATTTATCTCTTGTGTGGCAAAAGTTGGCAAAAATTTGGCTATCTCTAAGAGATCTAACGTACAAAAGCATGTGTAATCCTGGGGTTAATGAATAATTGTATGTAAAGATAGACGCGAGGCGCGCAAGAATAGGAAACGTTGAAATATGCATAAGAATACGTCTGATTGCCGGCAGTGTGTGTGTGTGTGTGTGTGTGTGTGTGTGTGTGTGTGTGTGTGTGTGTGTGTGTGTGTGTGTGTAAATGTATGTGTATAGGTGTAATTTATTATTTTTATATATCATTATCATTTTAATACAAAATATGTACACACAGCATATAACGTACGCACGGCATGCATACGCGCGCACGCACGTACACACGCGTGCGCAATCGTGATCGAGAATTCGAAAACTATGAATCAAGGCTGATGGCAGTGTTTGTACCTGATACTTTTAACGACCTATCGGAACTCTTTGACAAACGTATTCGTTCTTCCGGCTTTAGGATTTCGGCTATGATCTTCTCGTCGGTGCGTCGTTCTTGTGATGGACGAACAACTTCTAGAGACTTCTTTTTACGTTGATGCCCCGTGTTGCATGATTCACTTTTGCCGCTGTCGCCGCCACCACCACCACCACCACCAGCCGAGGAGCTCTCCTCGGCGACCGATGCCAGTTGCGCCGTTTGTATCTCAGTCAGAGTAAGTCTTCCATTAATCTTGCCCTCCGCAGGACTTACAGATTGAGGCTGCCGAAGGCTAGCCTCGGAGCTAGGAACAGGTGATTGCAAAGGATTCTCCTCCGTGCCGATCGGAATCTTCAAGATATTGATTGGTTCGACGTAGAGCTGCAAAGTCGCAAATTATCTTACAATCAAAGAGAAAAAAAGTTATATTCACACATACATTTTAATTTATTAATTTGTAATATTTAATTTATTAATATTTATTAATCTGTTAATATTTAATATTTTAATTTTATTTATGTATAATATAAATATAATGAATATATTGAAGAGAAAAGAAGCCGATAACAGTTTTATGTAGTTATTGACTCATAAATATCATCATATTAAAGATAAATTTAGTTACGAATTCTTCGCGCAATCATATTTCAACAAAAAAAAATACAAAAAAAAAATTAAAAAATTTTTTATTTTTAATGGTTCCTTCAATCGATTACGCGTTGAACCAACTCTAAAATAACGCTGACATGAATTGCTGACAATCATGAGTCATGCGATTATATGAGAATCGGCACATGGAAACATACGTCATAAAAAAACTTACCGCATCGAATGGAGAATCCAGAAACAGCTCTTGCAGAAATTGCCGCGCTGGCATTCTATATGTACCGCTACCTAAGCGAGCAGCTACATCCGAAAACAAGCAAGTATCCTGCAAAAGACGAATGTATGTATAAAGAATACTATTATGTGCTGTTGCAGAAATAGAATGTATGACAAATGTATAACATACCTGAAACTTCTCGGGATACTGTTGTCTCAGTCTAAGTAACGATTGACGACTGTGACGATACCACACTGGATTTGCAAGCCGTTGGGTGTGTCTAAGTATTTCTCTGTGCAAACACGACCGAATTAAACGTAACACAAAATCATAAAAAGTTTATGATGAAAAAAACATTTTTAAACGTCAATACATAAAAAGTACTTTATAATGTAATTAATTAAGAATTATAATTCCAAATTTCTCATTTTAAAGTTCCTGTCTATCCACTGTAGCATCGTGGACGGTGACGTTAGAAGCGAGAAAGATAAATAAAGAATTTTACAAAGTATATTAAAATATATTTTTTTTAATAAAACATTCAATAAAACAATCGGTAGAATAGAAATGTAAAATATACCGCAAACTCTCCTTGTATTTCGGTAATCAATAAATAATTCAAAATATAAATCATTTAATTGAAATTAAATATGGCTAACACTAGAAGACAAAACAAATTATATAACTGTTGAGATAAATATTTTATTCTATTCCGGAATAAAAGGAAAGTTCGTTATATTTTGCAAGAATTTCTATTATGTGTTTTCTAATGTCATCAATCTGAAGATCTAGTAAATGATCAAGAGACTTAATATTCTAATAAGTAATTTTTTGTTTGCAATTATATTTGTTTTCTACTCCCAAACGAGTACTCTGCCAAAAGATCATATTTTTGGTACCTTCGCAATTTCATATCTTGTTCAGTACCAGTGTCCTTGCCATTCTTGCCATGATAGCAAATGAGACACGTGCGACAATGCTCGGTGTCAGCATCACACTCTGAACTGGATTCTTCGTCGATCTCTGTTGTCTCCAACTCGGATCTGATGCTATCCTCGAGGATGGTCGGCTGGGATGGCTGAGGAGGCTCGGGAAAGATCGTAAGCAACTTTCTCGGCAGACAGACACCCATATAAAATATATTTTCATTATCGTCCTCCGGAGGAGGTGGCGTCGGTGTGAGAATCGCGTTTTCCGCAATCCAGCTGCGGGACGAATCGTATTCCGACAGGCTCTGTAGCGAAAGACGGCCATCTAAGCTATACATCTGCAAAAAGAAAGACTGAATTGTGTTGTTTAAAAAACCGTTGAAATCTAATTTTTAGACATAGGCATGTCTTTTCACATACTTCTAAACTACTTTGAGA